GCCTCCTGCCCAGGACTGAGCCCCCCGACATTCCTTGTCTCCCAAGTCTGTGTGTGCCTGACCAGGACCAGCAGGGCCAGTGCCTGCAAAGGGACTCACCTTCATTACCTTGTTTCCTCCTGCATCCAGATGGAGGCTCCCCCTGGTCTTTCTTTTGCTATTAATATATTTGTAGAAGCGTTTCTTGTTACCTTTTACCTCAGAAGCCAGATTAATTTCTAGCTGGGCTTTGCACCCTCTGATTTTCTCCCTGCATAATCTCTCATCTCTGTAGTTGTCATGACTGGCCAGACCCTTCTTCCAAAAGCCATAAACTCTCCCTTTTCTCGCTCAGTTGTAGCCCAAGCTGCCTATTCAGCCAGGCCAGCTCGCCTTATGAGCTTATTTCTCAGGAAGTGCCTTATGGAGAAATTTTCTTAAATAATTGATCTTTTTTTCCAGGTAGTCAATGAAAAGCAATAGACACTTCCATGTGCATGCTATCTCCCTCAGGAAGCTTTCCAGGCCAAATAGGAAACATTGGCATTAGACCCTTAAAAATCAGGAAAAAATTCTGAAGTACTTATTTTGAAGGGAGTGAGTCATACCTGCACCTTTTATTTTAATTTTCCTCACAATGGTTGATGATGCTGACTAAATTGTAGCAGTCATTCCATGGCCCTACATCATTTCCGTTTTGATAAAAAAGAAAAACTATCGCTGTAGATGCAGCACATGGTAGAACAGGTACATATCTGGAACTGCCCTTAACTCTATTAGAGCAAGGTTGTATCTACACAAAGTCATACACAAACTTGAATTCAATTCAAGGTAGCTACTCCAATGAGTTAGACACATTGCACAACAGCTCAGCTGCATCTACTAAGCTGTAGTTAGTCCAGTGCTGAGGCTCCACACTACTACACTTTCCTTGAAGCAAGTTCAGTGCTAATTCAGGTGTATCTGTACTGAACTAATCACACACACCCTGACCAGCTGGTCAGAAGAGGTGATTTTCCCGCTGTGTTTGGTGCTGGTGTGGCCTCATCTTGAACAGTGTGTGCAGTTGTGGGCCCCACCATTTTAAGAAGGATGTGACAGTGCTTGAATGCATCCAAAGTAACCAATCCAGTGAAAGGGTGGAGGGAGTGTCCTGTGAGGAGCAGCTAAGGACTCTGGGCTTGTCTAGTTTATAGAGAAGGGGGCTGAGAGGTGACCTTATGGGTCTCTACAGCTTCCTGAGAAGAGGATGTAGAGTAGGAGGTGCTGAGCTCTTCTTCCTGGTATCCAGTGATAGAACGCATGGGAATGGTTCAAAGCTGTGGCAAGGCAGGTCTAGAGTGGACATGGGCTAGTGTTTCTTTACCAAGAGAGTGGTCAAACACTGAAAGAAGCTTCCTAGCAAGGTGGTCAATGCCCTAAGCCTGTCAGTGTTTAAGGAGCATTTGGACAAATCCCTTAATAACATGCTTTAACCTTTGGTTAGCCATGAAGTGGTCAGGCATTTGGACTAGATGTTCATTGTACATCCCTTCCAGCTGAAATTGTGTAGTCTGTTCTATCCAACTATAGCTCTAGGGTTGGCAGATAACCAAACTGTGTGTCATGCTCTGATACTAACACTTCTTACGCTGCACAAAAAGAGAGCTACACTCGACTTTCAAATTTGGATTCATACAGGTATAGTCATCTACATATATGCAAGTAAGAAGAATTTAAATTCTGCCTCATTGTCAATAATGAATTGGAAGAAAAGTTAATTTTTTATTAAAAATGGTGACTTTCATTTTAACAGCAGATCAGTCTGGCTTATGCTTTTGTTGAATGTGTCTCCTTCTGTCCCCTGCCATTTTTCCTGACAGACCTTCTGCGGTGGCCACAAATCAGCAAATGCAGATCACCTGAACTGGAGACATTTTCATGTTATTGGACTGATGGAAATTTTTATAACCTCACGGCTCCAGGAACAATACAGCTATTGTACATGAAAAGGTAATAATATGGAAAGAACAAGAGAAAGAGGAAAAGAGAGAGAAGTCTTGTATTTTGCTATGCTTGATAGCTTGTTGCTGTTAATTTTTTTGCCATTATAAGAGCCATGCTGATTTTAAGAGCATAAAACTGTGTTTTAAGTGCATATTTTTAAATGTCAAAATTTCTTGTTATTATTAAGCAATTTGCAGCAGCAAGCATTACTTGGCAGGTAACTAAGAATACATTCTTACTAAACTTAGGTCCAGATTGCAGAATCCAAACCTGAACACTGAATGGCTTGGGAAAAGAGATTTTAATAGGGAACTTCAGTTTATTCCTTATCAACCTAACTTGCAGCTGTAAGATTTGCTATAACTGTGTATGTGAAGTTTGGATTCAAGCACCCTTCAGATTTGTATTAAAATTTTATAAAGCTCCCATTGATCATTTCCTAGATTGAAGTCTGAATGTGCAGGTCCAGGCAAAAAGGCTGCTTTTTGACCAGAGATTTCATTTCAATGAGTCCTGTTCAATTCTGATTCACATTCTACTTAAGCTTTTGTAATTTTCAGATCATTACAATGATTAGCCTGAAAGAGGACATAGACATTACCAGTAATGGCTATTAAGAAAAACAGGCCTTTTGTACACAAGAATAGGAGGTGAATTTCTGTTCCATCTACTGTAGTAAATTTCAACCTTTTTGATCTACAGACACTTTGTACTGGTGATGATATATTTGCTTAGCAAACAAGCCTAAGGGCAAGGCTTGCTTTCTTATTTACTCTTCTAAGACCTCTCAAAAACATAGGAATCAAAGTTAAAAGCACTATTTCATTGTAAATATTTAGCTGACAATTGTCAGTGGCTTGTGCCATGAGGGTACAAACTTTAAAAATCGGTTAAACTCTATAGCAGTACCACATACATTCAGCAAATCACATTTCATCTTTGTCCTATACATTAGAATACTGCAATAGAAGATGTGAATTGAAAATCCACATTGGGAACATTGACATGAGAAAAAGTCCTCAGGGACAAGGGAGCAGAAAAGAACTGGCAGATCTTTAAGGTTGCTTTACATAGGGCACAAGAGGCTTCAATCCCAAGGTGTAAGAAATCAGGCAAGCAAGGCAAGAGACCATCGTGGCTGAGTCAAGACCTTCTGGTCAAACTAAAAGGCAAGATGGAGCTGCACAGGCAGTGGAAGAGGGGGCAGGTTTCCTGGGAAGGGTGTAGGGATGCTGCCTAGTTGTGTAGGGATGAGGTCAGGAAGGCCAGAGTGCAGCTAGAACTGAACTTGGCAAGAGATGTGAAGAAAAACAAGAAGGGCTTCTACAGGGATGTAAAACAGCAAAGGAAGGTTAAAGAAAGCGTAACCCCCTGATGAGCCACAATGGTGAAATGGTAACAACAGATGAGTGTCATGACTTGCGTAGGGAAACCCAGGGAGATATAGACTTGACCCACTTGCTTTCTGAATTCCTTCTCAGAGAGCAGCCTTTGTGCAGCTGAATCCAACCTTAGTCTCAGACCTGGCCCTTCCAGGGAGAGTGATTAAAATGTCATGGTCTGAGGAAATGCTTGACCGTCTGATACCCCTTGATCCGATTAAGATGAAACACTCAAGGTCTGTATTTGAATATTAGGTTAACTTAAAGCTATAGCAGGAATACGGATACTTCAATTATTAACTTAGGCTGCATCATCATAAAAGCTGACAATCAGATCACAAGGATACAATACATGTATGTTTAAGCTGCACAATCTGAGAAAAAATCATGGTTAGGCCTTGTGTTACTTAATGATGTTAGGAAGGGAGAGAGAGAGGGAGTAGCAGAAGAGAAGTTTGGAAAGATAGATAACAGAAAATCACCAGTCCTGGATCCAGTGTTGGGCCAGCCAACGAGGGAGAGCTGGTGTCAGTGAGGCTCCCAAAGCCCACCAC